ATAGAACTACAATTAGATCCAGCAATCCCATTCCTGGGTATTTATTCAAAAGAACCGAAATCAGGGTCTCAAAGAGATATTAGCACCCCTACGTTCACTGCAGCTGTACGCACAAGAGCCAAGTGTGGAAACAACCTAGGTGTCCAACGGGTGAATAAAAAGGAAGAAAATGAGGGAGGTACATACAATGGAATTCTATTTGTCCTTTGAAAAGGGGAAATTCTTCAATATGTGACAACATGGATGACCCTTGAGGACATTACACTAAGCACACTACCCAATCACAGAAAGAAAAAAAAAAAAAATACTGCCTGACTCCACAATGATGAAGTATCTTAAAAAGTCAAATTCATAGCAATAAAGAGTGGAACAGGCCTAAGTTTGCATCCAGCAAGAGAAATAAACTCTAGCTGAAACCAGTTTGGCTCAGTGGATAGAGCATTCGATTCCAGTCAAGGGCATGTACCTTGGTTGCGGGCACATCCCCAGTAGGGGATGTTCAGGAGGTAGCTGATTGATGTTTCTCTCTCATCAATGTTCCTAACTCTCTCTCTCTCTCTCCCTTCCTCTCTGTAAAAAAAAAATCAATAAAATATTTTTAAAAAGAGAGAGATCTGCTACACAACACTGCACCTGTAGGCAACAATGCATACTGTATACTAAGAATTTGTTAAAAGAGTAGGTCTCATTTAAATATTCTTTAAATTAAACATGTAAATGTTAAATGTTCCATATTAACATTAATTTGGGGGGAGGGGGAACTTCACAAATCATTTCCACTGTGCCAGCAAAAGGGAAATTGCCTGTTTTGTTACTCTCCAAATGGCTAAGGCTTAGACACAAAATGTCCTTCCTCTCCCTGAATCTCACCCCATTACTGCCACCTTCTTTCTTCTGATGCCCCTTGAACAAAGAAAATGGAAACTCAAGCCTCTCATCAGGAGCCTGCCCCGATGATGCTAACAGAGAACGCAAGGTCAGGCCCAGTCAGAAAGAGAAGAGGCAAACTCTCGAAACGATTTTTAAAACATCCCAGCAGCCCAAACCCGAGGATTCCTTTCATATGTCTATCTCCAGTTATCGTACCGCATATAAAAGGGGGCTAACGATACTAGGAGGATTTAAAGCTATTACGTTAATTAATGTCAAGTGCTGGATTGCTGAGTTTGATATGGGACTGCTGAGTTTTACAGCAGCGCTGAACGGATTGGAAAGATCCTAAAGAGACCAACTAAAACAGTGATGCAAGCCAGTGGCACTCTGCCTGGAGAATTCCTGGAGACAACAGAACTTCCAGATGCAAAAAGCAGGGAATAAAAAAGGGCTGAGCGGTCGGCCAGAAACCTTCAAATTCGGATAAAATAGACCAGTCATTCTGAAAAGTGAGTATTCCTAGTTCCCCCTCAAAGATGCAGGGTCCTCCTGAGCCTGCTCCCAGGGGTTCTGAGGCAAATGGTCTGGCGTGAGGCCGGGGAATCTGCATTATAATAAACACCTAGGTTATCTCTGGGCCCACAGTCCAAAGCCACACACTTGGACAAACATGACCACCTTTCCCACAAAGTTCCATTCGGTGGCTTTGTTTGTGGGTGAGAAACACTTCTTCTTCAGCACGAGACTGAAAGGGAAGAAGCGGAACTTTAATCTCTAAGCTTGGTAAATGCTCAGGATAATTAATAGAGACTGGGAAATGAAGTATCCATCTACACACGCGCCATGGGTTGGGTAAAAAATAAATTATGTTCAGATGATTTAATGTTTCCCTGAGATGAAATAAATCCAATGGCTGAGTGAAAGGCAATAGGCAAACTATCTATCACCTGAAGTTAACGGCTAAGCTAATATTTCAGCCACTCATCTTGAAAGGGAAGCTTGGGCCAAGAACATAGCAGGGCAACTATATTTAGACATATAACCCAGGAAGGGTTAAATGCAATCACATCTGAAATGACTGCTACTCCCCATAAACCCGGAAGGAGGTGGTGAGGTCCAAGGTGGCCTAATATTTTCAAAATTACAATAACTTGTAAAATGGAGTGAGGATTATGCAAATCAAACCACAGGTGATACAAAAATGGTAGCGATCAGGAATCTGTGGAGAATAAAATTTTACTATTGGGCAATGTCTTTACAATTGCCTTTACTGAATCCTATATATTGAAGTCACATATTATTCTATGTCTTTATCGAGACTCAATAGGGCCCAATGCAGAGTGATTCATGGACAAAGAAATAATCAAAGGCATCAGTCGAAAAGAGCACAGAGAGAGGCATTAGCTACCTCTGACCGTGTGGAAGTCACGGCACACAGTGCAATGGGGCGGTCGGACACTTCCACACTCTGCAGATGTGGGTGGCGTTAGGAAGTGATGTGTAAGATAAACAAGGAAGCGTGTCTGTTACTCTTTCAGCCAAACAGCCTCGGTGCTACTTCCCCTGGGAGTGCTGGAAGGGAATTCAGAGCAGGCCGTCGCCGAGGTTAGGGGATGTACCCCAGGTAAACTGAGGCTACAGGGGGAGGGTACAAGCACCTCCAGAACAGACAGAATCTCAATGTACCTGTTTGATGGGGAAAGATGCACAAAAGAAAGGGAGCCTATGGAAGAGAAACATTTCCGTTCCTGTTAGCGAGAAACAATCACCCTGAGCACGATTAGAAGCATGGAAGAAAGGTCAGCTTATGGTAACACCATCCCCGGGGACATTCAAGGAGGCGACCAGACACCTCTCTACTTAGGATGCATTAGAGATTATTAAAAGCATTCCTTGCTGAGTACTGGGGTGCAGAGTGGGCCTCATGACCTCTCCAAAGGTCACTTCTATCCCAAAGGATCACATGTCTGAAGGGCACCAGATAAAAATAAAGTCTATTAATCACGGAGCTGCCACACAATTTCCTAAGAGAGCCAGAGAGAGAAGGGCAATCCAGGGTGGACCTTACTCCCTCGAGAGAGGAAAGGGAGGCAGTGCCTGTGCGGGCAGAGCCAAGGAGTCCAGCAGGGAGACTTCCAGAAAGCCCACATCAGGCCGGTCATCAGGCCTCCGAGTCCCACAGCGTAAACAGGAGGAGGAAAAGACCCTGCGGGGAGGGGAACAGGAAAAGCAAATGGCATCAGGAGCCCTGAACAAAGCCACCGGAGATGGGGGAGAGGGTGTGATGCAAGCACTTTGTGCAGAAAGAGGGGGGCAGGCAAGAGAGGGACACCACAAAGGGCGCTTTGTGGAGGCAGATGACAAAGGAGGGAGGAGAGGGGCTGAGAGGTGGTGAAGGACACCTCTGGGACTACAGGGGCCTATCATTGGCTGAGAACCCGATGAAAGGTGTAGCGATAGAGCAAAAAGTCATTCCACTGTCTGTGGTGGCACAAAAATCACATAATAAAAATAAAAGTTTTCAAAGGAGGAACCACAAGGCAAAGCCCCAGTTCCAAAGCAGCTGCTGGCACTCGTGTTGGCAACTTGCTGACACAGTCGGGAAGCCCATTTAGTGGGGGCCTGAGGTCCTCTCCAGGGCCAGCTTGGACTTTGATGAACCCCATTTAGGAAGCAAGACCCAGGCCAATGCAGGCACCTCCTGGTACGGCAAGAAGGATCCGGCCCAGGCCCTGCTCTCCCCTCATTCTAAAATGGAGTTGCTTTGGGAAAGAGATGTCACCTGCAGTTGTGTCACAAATGTCATCTGCACAGTGTGTTAAGAAGCCAAGTTGGTTAACCAAAGAACTTACATACATATATGTGTAACCCGTGGACACAGACCATAGTGCAGGCCTGGGGGTGGAGTGGGATGGGGCGGACCTGGGTGGAGTGGGGGCATCTGTAATACTTTCAAAAATCAGATCAATTTAAAAAAAATAATAAACCAAGTAAAGGTCATGGAGTTTGAGGTCTTCTAACAAAATGTTCTCCAACCAGCTGTCACCTCACTGGCCACAGAACAAATTTTTTAAATCAAGACTCCAGTGAAAAAGGAGGAAAATGGCACCACCTCCAAAGTACCCCCTAAGCCCCATCTTCCCAAGTTCTCCCCCTGCTCTCACAGAGACTGCAAACACTGACGAGATGGATGCGACACCGGAAGGGACCGCTGCACCAGGACGGGACACCGGAAGGGACCATTGCACCAGGATGGGACACCGGAAGGGACCATTGCACCAGGATGGGACACCGGAAGGCAGAGCTCAGCATCCTCAGAGAGAGGAGAAGATGGGAAGGGAAGAGGGACCAGGGAATGCGGTTTTGAGGGCTGCCCTTGCCATGGAATGAGCAGATGGTGCTTGATACAGTGAGAAGATAACTAGGGCAGAAACTTTTAACCCACCACCCAATGCTCTGGCAGGTGAGAAAGACAAAAGCTCTCCAGCTGACAGCAAAGCCTATCCGCTGACACCAGTCCCTGGTCCACCCACTATCACTGCTCCCGGCACTCTCTCCCCCGGTCCTCCCCAGCTCTGCCTGCAGACCCCAAACCCAGGAGCCAGGCCGTCTCTTGTCCAAAAGATGTTTCTGAATCGGGCAAGAAAGGCTGGAGATGGATCGAGGCCCATTTATTAACTAAGTAAAGAAGTCGTAACTTGCCCTGTGTAGGACAGGAGGAAAAGAAAAAAGGAATTAAAGGGAAACAAATGAAAAGCCACAGGAACCAAGTACTTCTGTTGGAGGATTCTGAGTTATGCTGTTGTTTGTAATTCTCGGAAGCAGAGAAAGCAATAGGGGATCTTAAGGAGACAGTGAAAGACACAGGAACAGAGAAAAGCTAAAAGAAGGGGACTGCAAGCACCCAAGGCCTCCCACTTGCCCTCCTCATGCAGAAACACGAGGGCAGAGAGGAGGTGATGTCTGAGGGGAGGTGCAGGCACGGGAGCTGGGGTGGGAGTCCCAGAGGAGGAGCCAGCACGCCTGGGGCTGGGGGCTGGGGGCTGACAGGCAGGGAAGCACAGGAACGGTGAGGACAGGAGTGAGGGCAGGGGCATGAGAAGGAAGGCGACGTGGCTTGTACTTACTGTCACAGACGTAAGGTTTGTCGTGGTCTTCCTGAGAGGCGGGGTCATGCCTCCTCCTGCCACCTGCAGAGCCACGAGCCTGGGGAGACATTGGGGTTTCACGTTGCTTGTTATTCTGTTCGTCACCTCAGGTCCTGAGCACGTGCTCTGTGAGGCCCCGAGCGCCTCGCCTGCACCTCCTTGTTCCACTTCCATCACATTTGTGCCCGTCCCAACCCCATTTTACATGCCGGGAAACTAAGGCCCAGGGAAATGAGGTAACTTACCCCAAAGCGCTCAACTACTCACAGATCCCAGAGGGAGACACTACTACGGGCCCCACTTAACAGATCAGAAAACCAAGGCAACCGGAAAGGGTAAGTAGCTTGGGTAAGGCCACTCAGCTACTAAGTGCAGAGCCAGGAAATTAACTCAGGACAGTCTCGCTGCAAAGCATCTGCTGACCAAATGCCCATACTCTCCTGCTGCTGGTGGGACCTCTTCCTCCAGCTCCTTAGTCTTGCAGCTTTGTGGCTACCAAATGGAGATGCCAACTGGCTCCCGTCAGCTGACCAGAGGATGGGCGTGTTGGAGCAAGAAGCATCATTACCGTTATCAGGCCAAGCCCCTTGGTTCACACTCCCCCACTGAAGTTTCTCATGAGCCAGCCAGGCCTGGCACCAGGGCACAGGGCATGAGGCCAGGGAGCTCCCCTCCCCCAGCTCAGCCAACTCCAGAGGCAGGCTTCAGCTGAGGCCTCCTGTGGTCTGCCGTGAGCCTACAGCCAGCGACAGAACCCTTAGACCCTGAGGCTGGACCGCTGACACCAGCACCGTGTGCACTTCCAGAAAGGGTCGGCACAGCCTGGGCAGGGGATGGGCTGAGCTCTGCCTCGAGGCTAGAAGAGTCCAGCTAGAGAGGAGCAGGCAGCTCTGCGGCCCAGGACAGGAACTGCAAGAATGCAGCAAGGTTTATTTTTAAAACCCTGGAAGTCCCACGTTGGTCACGTGTGTAGCACCTTAGCCTCTTCGGGTCATTTTCTGGTAATGAGTAGCAGGAAACTCCCAACCCAGGTAAGGGTCTGCTGGGTCTTTGGGGGCAGAGAGAAAGGCACAGCAGATGAGAAGCAAAATGGTAGCCACCTGGAATGCAGGGACGATGGGGAAGTCCCAGGGGCCTGGCCTGGAAAAGTAGCCCTGGGAACTGCAGGGTCAAAAGCCTGAGGTGGTTGCTTGTGTATGCATGCCCTCTCTCTCTCTCTCTCTCTCTCTCTCTCTCTCTGTCTCTCTCTCTCTCTCTCCCCCCCCCCCTCCATCTCTCACCCACCTAACCCCCACACACACTTCACACTCAACACCACCTGACAAGCTACCACCTCCTCAGCTTGTCTCTCCACCATGAATTACAAAACCCCACCCCCCTCTCCCTCCCTCCCACTGCTCTTCCCCTCCCTTTGCCTCCCAGCCCCTCACCCTCTGCACATGACAGCCAGCAGCCCCCTCCCCTCGCCCTCATTACTCGGAGCTGACCCAAAGAGGGGGCTGTGAGGCGCACTGCAGTCACCCTGAGGCACTGACAGGCTTCCCTGCCCGCCATGACATGGAGGGTGGTGACCCTGAGCTGCCCTTGCCCCCCCCACGCACACCCCCACCCCCTCGGTGAAGCCAGGGACAGCTTGACGTGTGCAGCCCGCAGCCCTGTCACAGTCGCCCGGGAGCAAGTGAAAGCAAGTCAGGCAGAATGACGAGGCAGCGGCAGTCCCAGGAAAGGGGCTCTTAAGAGACTAAAAATACCGGCAGGGACAGGAGGAGCTTTGTGGAACCGGAGGCTCAGAGGGGAGAGGGGAGGGCCCAGCTGAGAGCCAGGGTTCCGTTTCACTCTGCAAGGCTGACCAGCCAGGTGATGGCAGGCTCCCGCACTCTCCCTGCACCTCAGTTTACTCAACTGCAAAGGGGGGAGGGGGAGGGTCATAGCTATGGAACACTGAGGGCACATGCCAGGGATTCTTCCTGGCAGTAGCTCTCTAGGCTCCCAGAATATCTCAAGCTCAGAATCTTACTCATGTTATTCAAATGCTACCTCCTCAAAGAAGCCCTCCCTGATCAACTTTTTTAAAAATATATTTGTATTGATTTGAGAGAGAAATAGAAACATCAATAAAGAGAGAATCATGGATTGGCTGCCTCCTGCACTCCCCACATTGGGGATTGAGCCCACAACCCAGGCATGTGCCCTGACCCATAACTGAATCATGACCCCCTGGTTCATAGGTCAATGTTCAACCACTGAACCACACCAACCGGGCTCCCTGATCAACATATGTCCACTCGAACCCTCTTCATTGTTCTCTTTCCCAGACCTTGCTTCCTGTTTTATCCCACACTTAACACTGTCTGACATCACATCGCACGTGTGTTGGTGTACATGATTTTCTTGTCACCCCCTTTTGAGGGTGGAGCACATGTCTCTTTTGGCCACAACTAACTGTCGTTAGGACCTGGCAGGGGGCCAGCCATTCAAGAAGCACTTAATAAACATTTGCTAAAGAAATGAATCAGTCCGCGGGTGGATCCGTGTGTCAATCATCTTCGGTCTTCTCTTTTATCCTCTATATCCAAGTGCTATTGTTCCTTCCTTCAAGGGTCATCTTGGGCTTTGCATTTCCCTTCCAGTCCACATTTTAATCCAGGAGCTCATCAACTGACCTCTGCACTGCTCAAAGGACCCACATGCTGGTGTTCTACCTCTGCATCACCCTACCCAGTCCACTCTGTGTGACTCCTAGACCCATCAGACAAAAGGTATGAAGGGCCTGGCCGGTATTGCTCAGTGGTTGAGCATCGACCCATGAACCAGGGTACGTGCCTGGCTTTGAAACTCAATAGCCAGTAGGGGACATGAAGGAAGCAGCTGATCAGTGATTCTCTCTCATCATTGATGTTTCTGTCCCTCTTTCCCTCTCCTTTCATCTCTCTGAAATCAATAAAAACATTTTTTTTAAAGGAGTGGAGGACAGAAACCCATGATCATTCATTCATTGCCATCTAAAACCCACTGACATCCAATGGTGACCTGATGCCAATGCCCCTAGGTTCACCTCAAGCTCACGTCTTTATTTTTAATGATCCCTGTCTTGGACCAGCCTCTCTGTCCATCCCCATCTGATCCCTAAGTTAGCCCTGCTAACATTCCACTCCTCCAAGAATCCTCTTCTTGCCACTTTGATGAGTAAAAACAACATCAGCTTTAATGACACAGACACAGGTTTAAATATCAGCCATGTGTCTTTGGACAAGTTACTTCTCTAAGCTTTCCCTTTCTAAACTGTAAAATGGGCAGAGCAACATCTCTACCGCAGGGTTGTTGAAAAAGAACTAAGGGTGTGAGAAACCACAGAGGATAGTGCTACGTCTGCAGGAAGTGCTCAACAAATTAGTTCCCCTCCCTGCCCAAGTTGATCTCTCTCTTTCCTCTGAACTCTCACTGCATTTGGTTAGTGCACAGTCAAAAGCCTGTGCTTTCGAATTGTATCATGGCTGTTTGTATTTTCTCCTCAATTTAATTCCAACATCCTTGAGAGCAAAGATCATTTCATACATTATTATGCATCCCTAACACTTAGCACTATGGCATCTGAAGCTCTTTCCCATATATTAGCTCATTTAATTCCTACAATAACCTATGAATTAGAGCAAATACTATTATTCCCATTTGGCACTTGATAAAACTGGTCCAGGGAGGGTTCACAACTTGTCCAGTCATTGAACGAGTAGGAGAAACAGGACCAAGGTTTCCAGACTGTTACAGAAAATTTCAAAGCTGATTACCCAAAAAAATCCAGTTCTTCCCCCTCTGAGAAGTGCCCACCGACTCCACTCCATGTCTCATTCACACATGGGTAGGCCATGACTGCACCACATAGCGCGGCGCTGCCTGGCCATAGCTGACTGGCTGGCTCAGGAATGGACACCTTGAGCTAAACTGCACAAATCAGACTCTAGTTCCAAAGAACTTGGAATTGGAAAACAGTTGGTTAGTACAGGCTAGCTGACAGTTCAGAAGCCATGGGAGTCATGTGCACAAAGAAACAGAAAAGGCGAGAGAAGAATGAAGAAGTAGAGACCAGAAGGTTCCAGGATGCTTTCCTCTTTCCCAATCCTGAATCCCTGCCACTCTCTTGCCCTTTCTGAGGTTTTAATCTTCAAACATTGCTCAAAGTTGGAGCAATGTCCCAGCAACTTTGTGCTTAAGCTGTTAAATTTCCTACAAGTAAAAGGCCCTCGACTGGGACAGCCTCAGAGAGCTAGTTCCCCTGTACCAGCTGTTTTCAAATAGTATCTCAAGAAATCCTGGGGGACCCTGAGACCCTTTCAGGAGGTCTTCAATGTCAAAAATATTTTGTGATAGTACTAAGCGTCTGAAATTTTTCACTCTCATTCCCTCACAAGTGCACACTGGAGTTTTAGAGGCCATAGGACATGAGGAGGTCATCACTTGTGAATACCTAGATTTAACACTTTTTCTCTTTCGATAAGTAGCATTAGTTATAACCTACCATAACAATAGCTTTTGGGGAGTCTCTCCATCATTTTTAAGTAAAGAGCTTCTGAGGACCCCCCCACCCCAAATAAAAAAAAAGAAAAATTGAGAGCCACTGCTCTATCTCACTGCTATTTAAAGTGTGGTCCTCAGCCGAAACCGGTTTGGCTCAGTGGATAGAGCATCAGCCTGCGGACTGAAGGGTCCTGGGTTCGATTCCAGTCAAGGGCATGTACATTGGTTGCGGGCACATCCCCAGTGGAAGGTTTGCAGGAGGCAGCTGATTGATGATTCTCTCTCATCGATGTTTCTAACTCTCTATCTCTCTTCCTCTCTGTAAAAATCAATAAAATATATATTTTTTTAAAAATAAAGTGTGGTCCTCAGACCAGCAGCACTGACATCAGCCCGGAGCTTATAGAACAGGCCAGATCTAGTCCCCACCTCCAAGACCAACTGCATCCTAATTTGCAGCTTAGTAAGATCCCCTGTGCTTTGTATGCACATTAAAGTTTGAGAAGCACTGAACTACACCACAATGCATCAATAAATCCTTACTGATTGACTGATCTACTTCTTGATAATACACGGATGATTCCCAAGAATTTTATAAATTTTAAAGAGCTTAGATTTCTTGGACTAAAGTCACCCTAACACAATCATTAATTGTTGGGTCCAAATTTCTTTCACCCTTCAGGGAATCTCCATTGTACCCTCCTAATAATACCTGGCCTTTATTAAGCTATGCTTAAAATTTGGCTGTGTATTTTAATGATGAAGAAACTGAAGCTCAGAGTTCATATATAACTTGGTCAAGGTCACAGAGGTTACATAATTCAACCAAAGTCTAGTCAGTGGTGGAGCTGGGATTTGAACTCATGGTTCAAACAAGACAGAGGCTGTTCTTATAAACACTACCTTAGACCTGGCTTCCTCAATGAGCACACAAAGCACCTGGGGGTCTTAGTAAAGGAACAGACTGTCATCCAGTCCATTAGGGTGAAGTGTGGAGTCCTGCATCTTTAACAATCTCCCAGGTGATACTGATGCTGAGATGCATGGCCTTAAACTGCCTTTCAGTCCTGGCAACAGAAATGGATGTGACTGTTCGCCAGGAGTGAACAGCAGCTTGAACACACCACTGTGAAGGATGACTTAATTGCACAGCTTCATACACTTATTCCAGTCAGGACAGGCCTGCCTACACTCCTCTGGGTCCTCCCATGGCTCCCACCACGGGTGACAGGGCCACAAGGTCACTGTGCAATGTAGAGCCATTCAACTGCCCCTTGGCCATCATGAGGTGGGCCCGGAGCTGGACTAGGCCCCATCCAGCCCCAGATGATTGATGCCTAACTTCTCTCAGCTTCCACAAGCTGAAATACGACTGTTCTTTCTTTTTCCATCATTCAGTCATTCATTCAAAAAAGTGGTCACTGGCCACATGCTAGGGACTGGGCCACACGTGACCCAGTGGAAAAACCACAGAGAATGCTCAAATCCTGACTTCTTCCTTACTAGGTTGGAAGACCTTGAGCAAGTTAACCTCTCTGGAAATAATAATACCAACTTATGGAATGGAAGAAGCAGTGCTAGCCAATGGAAATACAACGCAAGCCACAGATGTCATCTTAAGTTTTCCAGAAGACACATCTTCCTTTTTTTTTTTTTAAAGTAAAAAGATAAATAGGTGCAATTAATTTTAGTAATGCATTTTACTTAACCTAATATAACCAAAATATTATCATTTCACTACTATGTAATCAATGTAAAAATATGAAGATGTTCCGCATTCTTTTCGTACTATATCTTCGAAATCTGGTGTGTATTTTACACGTGCAGCACATTTCAGTTTGAACCAGCGACATTGTAAGTGTGCACAGCCACAATGCCAGTGCAGTAGATGAAGTATGAAGTGCTCAGTCATCACTCTCCATGTGTCAGCTCGTACTGTAACTAGCCCTTCACAGTGCCTGGTATACAGTAAGGGCAGTAAGTAACAATTGCTGCTGCTGCTAGCGCTAATGCTCCTACCAAGACCCCCTACTCATATTCAATGACTGGGAGTTCAATCACTGATGCTTAGGTTGGGAATGCAGTAGGTGTGAAGACCATTCTCCTTCCACAATCGACTCGCCGCTTAAGTTTGGTTTGGGCTGAGGGAAGGGAAGGAAGCAGGCTTGGAGTTGACACACAGCTCTTGAAGTTCACAAAAAGCCCAGAAATTCTACATTCTAAAGCCTCCTTCAATGATAGAATCCGAAATTCATTATTTTGCAACCTCAATGAACTCATGGGTCGAGGCACGTTCATCAGCGGCTGCTAAGACAATTAGGTAAAAACTCAATGCGGAGCTTAGAGAAAGAGATCAGGCTGCCAACACCCAAATCCACCTGTCAATCTGAGCACCACCAGAAGCAGAGCACCTAGACAACATGTGCCTCCTGATGTGATGCAGTAAGATGCATACATCACACCTGGGAAAGATTCTTGCCCCACCAAAGAAAATTTATACACATAAATATCCTGAATCTAATCAAGTCTCTAATCAAACCACCAGTTTTCAGGAAATAAAGAGAACAGAGAAACACTTTAAATAGTATCAGTCTGCCAACTCTAGAATGTGAGAAATTCCTCAAGACCAACCATCCAACTTCTTCCACAAATAAATGGCATGGAGAAAAAAACACATGTGTGTGGGAGGATGTAGCAGAGAAAAGTAATCAGAGACTTGATAGTAGATAATAGAATAGTTGTTCTTTTTGTTGGGTATAATAGTGATATGTTAGAGATATACACTGAGGTATATGCAGGTTAAATGACAAAATGTCTAGGAATTGCTTTCAAATATTCCACACATAAAAAAAAAAAAAGAACATACTAGCCCTGGATGTGTGCTGAGTGGTTACAGTGTTGGCCCACAGACTAAAGGGTCAAGGGTTCAATTCCCAGTCAGGGGCACATACCTGGATTGCCAGTTTACTTCCCAGCCCAATAGATGTCTCTCTCACATTGATGTTTCTCCCTTTCTCTCTCCCTCTCCCTCACTCCCTTTCCTTCTCTCTAAAAAGCAATGGGGAAAAAATATCCTCGAATATTTTTTAAATAAAATAAAACATGCAAACCAAGAAAAAAAAAAGTGAAAGAAAAGAACAGATATAATAAGACTGTCAAAAGAGAATCATAGCTGAAGCGGGATGCCAGCCATATAAGATATGCAGCATCTAAGAGCTGCCCTCCCCAGACTCAGAAAGTCCGGCTTCTGTCCACAGGCTGCAGCAATTCAGCTCAGAGTGGGCAGAGCTGAAGCACTTGTACCCATGACCTATCGTTATGATATAGCTTTCCAGGCCTCACCACACACCTCCCAAAGCAGAACTTCCGGGATTAGGTCCAGGGGACCAGCATTCTGAAAGGCTTGCTGGTGGTTCTGCTGTATACTAAGACATGGGAACCACAGGGAGATATGACATACTTCGCTCTAGATCAAGACCCACAGTGCACCCAGGACAGCCTCTTATCCGTGAAAAACATGAGGTCCTGCCTAGAGCCTGAAAGAGTCAGACAGGACGAAGAGTTAATTCTCTAGATGAAGAGCTGCAATTTGCGTCCAGAGGTCCCTTGGCACCTGGTTATTCTCAGATGCCCTTGGAGGCCCATGAAGTTGACCACAAAAAGCCCCTTGGGTCTTAAACATGAGAACTCTGGAGGACCAACCTGAATACTGAGACCCATCCTGGTTTGGTTCCCGCCTCAAGAACTATTCTTATATTTTAACTAGAGGCCCAGTGCATAAAAATTCATGCACTGGAAGGGGATGTCCCTCAGCCTGGCCTGCCCCTCTCACAGTCTGGGAGCCCTCAAGGGCAGGAGGTGGCCTAGCGATCAGAGGAAGGCGACACCCCCATCACACCTCTGCTGCTGCCACTGCTGGCAGCACAAGCCTCTGCCAGCCCTGGTTACATGAGCCTCAGGCAGCCCTGGGTGGCTGGAAAGCCGCCATTTGAGACTTGCCTGTGCCTTGAGCCAGCCCTGGGTGGCTTGGGCTGAGGGTGGGTCCAGCCACACCATGCACCTGCCACCCCCCTGGCAGGGGTAAAAGGACTGGGGGACTCCGGCGAGGCTGAGGAGACTGGGCACCGCCATTTTGTGGCTACGGGCACTGCTATATTTGTGGTGGTGGGATGGTCAATTTGCATATTTCCTCTTCATTAGATAGGATTCCTTCCACCACAGAATTCCCCAGGTTTCTGGGGTTTTCTTGCCACATTCCACCAGCTTCCAAAGCCCAAGCCATACCTGCTTGGGAACCATCAGCTGTGGGCCTGCTCTCTGCCTAAAGAAACACACCCCAAAGTAGGTGTCCTTGGCCTGTCATTCTGGGGCAGCCCCGGGGGCAGGAAACTCTCAGCCTTGTTTTATGGCCAAGAAACAGGGACGGCTGTCATATTTTCCTTATTCTCCACCCTCCCTCTGTTCCCACCCCCAACCTCCCCCAGAACCTCAGCATCCCCCTTTCCTCAGACACCCTCTGCCTCTTCTCCTCTGGCCAGCTCTAACTCCTGAAGGCTGTCACCTGGGAGCAGAGCCCTCTGGGAATTCTGCAGGGAAGACCATGGATGTGGGACATTGAAGTTAGGGGCCTCGCCTCCCAGATTGCTCACATCCCTCTGGCATCCCGCGGCTTACCCGTCCTCGGGTCCTGTTCTTCCGCTTAGGAATATCCTCTTCTAAATCCTCTTCTTCGTTTCCTTCTTCTACATTCTCATCATTTTCCAAGACCCCCTGAAATGACAAGAAAATAAAGAGGAGTTAAGAAATAAAATGCAAAGGAGAAAATGAATTAAGGGTAATTTGGGGAGGGTCCCATTTCACTTTGTTATAACAAAGTGAAGATGCTGCCCAGAGATAAGCACTTGGCAATAGCAATTCTCTTTCAAACCTGGAGGGATCACAATACCACCTATCAAGCTATATTACAAAGCCACAGCTCTCAAAACTGCCTTGCACTGGCACAAGAACAGACATAAAGACCAATGGAACAGAACAGATAACCCAGAAATAGGCCTAAGCCATTATGCTCAATTAATATTTGACAAAGGAGGCAAGAGCATACAATGGAGTCAAGATCATCTCTTCAATAAATGGTTCTGGGAAATTTGGTCAGATATATGCAAAAATATGAAACCAGATCACCAACTTACACCATACACAAAAACTAAAGGACTTAAATGTAAGATGGGAAACGATAAAAATCTTAAAAGACTCCATAAGCAGCAAAATATCAACATATGGCGTAGCAATATCTTTACCAATACAGCTCCTAGCGCAATGGAAACTAAGGAGAAAATAAAGAAATGGGACTACATCAAAATAAAAAGCTTCTGGCCAAACCGGTTTGGCTCAGTGGATAGAGCGTCAGCCTGCAGACTGAAAGGTCCCAGGTTCGATTCCAGTCAAGGGCATGTACATTGGTTGCGGGCACATCCCTGGTTGGGAGTGTGTAGGAGGCAGCTGGTCAATGTTTCTCTCTCATTGATGTTTCTAGCTCTCTATCCCTCTCCCTTCCTCAATAAAAAATATATTAAAATAAAATAAAAAATAAAAAGCTCTGCACGGCAAAAGAAACCATCAGCAAAACAACAAGAAAGCCCACTACATGGGAGAACATATTTGCCAAATGCTATTTCAGATCAGAGTTTAATCTCCAAAATTTACAGGGAACTCATACAACTTAACAAAAGAAAGATAAGCAATCCAATCAAAAAATGGGCAAAGGACCTAAGTAGACACTTTTTGAAAGAGAACACACTGGAAGGCCAAGAGACATAAAAACATGCTTAAAGTCACTAATCATCCAAGAGTTGCAAATCAAAGACACAATGCGGTACCATCTCACACATGTCAGAATGGCTGTCATCAACAAATCAACAAACGACAAGTGCTGGTGAGGATATGGAGAAAAAGGAACCCTCATGCACTGCTGGTGGGAATGCAGACTGGTACAGCCACTGTGGAGAACAATATGGAGTTTCCTCAAAAAAAAAAAAAAAAAAATGGAGCTCCCATTTGATTCAGTAATCCCACTTCTAGGACTATATCCCAAGAAACCAGAAACACCAATCAGATAGGATAATATAGGCACCCCTATATTCATAGCAGCACAATTTACAATAGCTGATTTGGAAACAGCCTAGGTGCCCAGTAGCAGATGAGTGGGTTAAAAAATTGGTCTTACACAATGGAATGCTATGCCGCTATAAAAAAGAAGAAACTTTGCCGAAACCGGTTTGGCTCAGTGGGTAGAGCATCGGTCTGCGGACTGAAAGGTCCCAGGTTCGATTCCAGTCAAGGGCATGTACATTGGTTGCGGGCACATCCCCGGATGGGGGTGTGCAAGAGGCAGCTGATCGATGTTTTTCTCTCATCGATGTTTCTAGCTCTCTATCTCTCTCTCTCTCCCTTCCTCTCTGTAAAAAAATCAATAAAATATATTTATAAAAAAAAGAAGAAGAAGAAGAAGAAACTTTTACCATTTGCAACAGCATGGATGGACCTGGACAACATTATTGCTAAGTGAAATAAGGCAGTCAGAGAAATAAAATATCACATGATCTCACTCATATGTGGGATATAATGAACAACATAAACTGATGAACAAAAATAGATCCAGAGATAAGGTAGCACTGACCAGACCAACCTCAGAAAGAAAGCAGGAGAGAGGGGGGATAGAGATCAACCAAAGGACTGTGTGCATGCATATTAGCCTACTCAAAGGACACAGACACTGGGCAGTGGAGGCTTGCCCTCGGGGGTGGGAGTAGGGAGGGGGGTCAATGGGGACGAGGGGTGGAAGGAGACATATGTAATACTTTAAACAAAGAAAGAAAGAAAGAAGGAAGGAAGGAAGGAAGGAAGGAAGGAAGGAAGGAAGGAAGGAAGGAAGGAAGGAAGGAAGGGAGGGAGGAAGGAAGGAAGAAAATACTCTGGTAGGAACAATTTTCTGTGAGGACCCAAGTTCCGTCAAAACTTACTTTAAGTAATTTTCCTTTTGTTTCTAAATATGAAACTAGGTTTCTCCTTTCCCTGCCACACTGGAACCCTGCCCTGTTTGATGAAAACAAGTAACTTCCTGTTCATCTGACCAGAATTTGAAATTATTATGTTGTTCTTAATCACCCATTGTTATTTTTTTAAGAGGAAAAAAAAAATGGGTCTATTTTCATTACAGAACATTACTTACCATGGGGCTTAAAGACATAAATTTCATTCTCTCTCTCTCTCCAACAGCTCTGTCGTTAGAGAAGAGAATCTCATTTCCATTTTGCAGGAGAATAAACTAATCCTAGCCCTGGCTGGATGGCTCCATTGGTAGGCCATCATTCTGTACACCAAAAGGTTGCAGGTTCGGATCCCAGTCAGGGCACATATGTAGATTGTGTGTTCGATCCCCGGTTGGAGTGCTCACAGGAGGAAATGGATTAATGTTCTCCCCCCCCCCCTTTCCTCTCTCTCTAAAATCAATCAAAACATGTTCTAGAGTGAGAAGTAAAAATAAATAAATAAATAAATAAATAAATAAATAAATAAATAAATAAACTGAAAACCGATTTGACTGCTCAATAGCATACAGAAAAACCATGACCAAAGCAAGATCAGGTTCATCAGCTCAGAGTTTCCCATCTGTTTCTCAGGCCTGTGTCTGAAGTTTCCAAGGTGTATTCCAGCATGCCCTTCCTGCAGGGAACCTGAGCACTTCGCTCCAGTTGAAGGAGGTTTACATCTCTAGTTATAAGGGAAAGATAAGAGATTGTGGCAGAGGACCCAGCCCCCTGAGTGGGAGTGGGATAAGGGGGAAGAGCATGGAGCTCACTGGACTCCATGTCAGGGGCCCTGGGGTTTCTTTATAGGCTCACAGTGTGACCTTGGCTGAGTCATCTTCTCTTCAGGCCCGTTTTCCTAATTATAAAACAGAAACTCACTCACTCATTCAACCAACAAACATTTGTCTAGAGCTGACTAAATAGCAGAAGCTATGCTAGACAAACCAGAAAATGGCTACAGTTCTGGTTCCACATGGATTTTAAAAGTCTAGTAAAGGGAGGACAGATTTAAACAACATATATAACCATGTAATTACAACTTCTATAAAGAACAGTGACAAGCAAGTTCCAGCTGCTACTACAATAGATGGTGTTAGAAGGAAAGCTAACTAATCTGAGGGTCAGGAAGGGCTTCCTTGAGAAACTGACCTAAGCAAGTTGAGCTCTAAAGGAAGGAAAGACTAGCGTTGGAATGAAGACAGGGAGAAAGAAGAGAGGGAAGTATTCCAGGCAGTGGAACAGCATGAGCAAACTCCCCGAGGCAGGGAGAGAAACATGACTTGGTCAGGGAGCAGAAAAGAGGCCCATGTGACTGACCAGAATTCAGTGGCTCAGGGAGAGACTGGCATAAGATGAGGCTACCAAAGTGATGGACCCTGTGTTATAAAGGATAACAAACAGCATCCACTCTGTGGTGACGGTATGACAATCACACAGCTATGAAAAGGCTTAAAAAGCAGCACCTACCACACCAACATCTGGTATCACCATTATTGTCCAAGTGGCCCCCTGGACAATGCCTCGGCCTTCCCTCAAAGCAGGAAGCCCAGGAATTAAGTTACCAGCGACCTGCTCCCACCGCCTCCTTGTCAGAGAATTCTCTTCCAGTCACAGGGGTCAGGATACTGCTAATTACCAAACACTCCCAAAGAACTCAAAACTAGTCCCATAAATTCTTCTCTGGCTTCTCTGCTCGGTTTACCCAGAAGTCATCAGCTGACAGCCCTTATGAGTAGTCTCTGGGCCAACTTTAGCCATCTCACTGAGGAGCACTGTCTGCTGGACATGGCCTCTGGCCTACAGCTAGGAGACGCTGGTGCAGGCCCAGAGCAAGCCTCCTGGCCTCCTGCATCTTAGCTTTTGAACTGAAAGTGGGAATATGAGCAAAAACCAAGCAAGACAAGGACTAGTAAAATGCTCTGCAGCCTTCGGTAAAAAGATGTAGTTATTCCGTCTGTTCTTACTGGTCATACAGCCATCTTGGAAGAGTCTTTGAAGTCATTTAATCATTGTAAGTTCTAAGTGCCTCGAATTTAAAGGTCATTGCCTCTAGCAGCTTAGCACAATTCTGACTCCTCTCATTTTTACTATGAAGATATTTATTATCTGTGACAAGGTGAAGGCAGCTGAGCTAGCCTCCAGAAGTGCCACACGGCCTCAATGTCCAGGAGTAAACTGACGTCGCCCCTCCTTCTTCCCATCAGCTACCTTCCCTGCGTCTCTAGAACCTTCTGTGTGTGAGCCGGGCCTCAGATGTGACAGCAGCCGCCCTGTGTGTTTGCGTTTCCTGTACCAAGGCCCTGAGACCAGGAGCCTCTCTCCATAACTCGGGAGGAGGCAAAAGTTTCTAACAGACAAAGGCCATATTCAGGGTGAGGGAGGAAAAGGAGTATCCTGTATCGGGAGTGAAGGGCAGAGGTGTCCAACTAGAGAGGCAGCTAATCTTCCCGTCCAAGGACATTTTCCGGGAAAAGAACACATTTTAAAATAACTTTCTCCCTGTTACTCTAAACAGTCTGCAACCAATGCTATGTGGTTGTGTTTTTAAAAAAAGAAGAAACTCGCCCAGACCGGTTTGGCTCAGTGGATAGAGCATCGGCTTGGGGACTGAAGGGTCCCGGGTTCGATTCCGGTCAAGGGCATGTATCTTGGTTACGGGCATATCCCCAGTAGGGGGTGTGCAAGAGGTAGCTGATCGATGACTCTCTCTCATCGATGTTTCTAACTCTCTATCTCTCTCCTTCCTCTCTGTACAAAAATCAATAAAATATATATTTTTTTAAAAATAAAAATTAAAAAAAATAAAAGAAGAAGAAACTCTTATTTAAAGATTCCATTATCAGCCCTGGCCGGTGTGGCTCAGCAGATAGAATATTAGCTCACAGACCAAAGGGTCTCAGGTTCAACTCCCAGTCAAGGGCATATACCTGGGGTGCAGGTTCGATCCCTGGACAGGGGCACAGAAAGGAAAGAAACCAATCAATGTTTCTCTCCCTCTCTCTCTCTCCTTCCCTCCCTCCCGCCCCACCCCCTCTACCCCTCAACTCTCTAAAAATCAATGGGGAAAAATATATTCAGGTGAGGATTAACAAAAAAAATTAAAAAGGGAAAGTAAATATTCCATTATCTCTCGTGTGGAACACTGTAGAAATCTCCTGACTTCCTTCCTTCCAATGTTGGCCCCGTAGGCAGTCTCCCCTCCACGTGAGGGCCAGAGGGATCTTATGAAACACAAATTCATCGCCCTGATTAAAACCCTCACGTGGCTTCCTTTTTCATTTCTCATGAAGTCAAGAGCCTCTGCTATGTCCTGGGAGGCTGGAGTGGTCTGGCCCACTCACTCCTCCAACGCCATCCTAGGCCTTTGTCTCCTGGCACTGTGCTCCCGCCACACAGGCTCTCGGTTCTTTCAGCACCAGCTGAGATCTACCTGTGCCTCCGAACAAACTGTCCCGCTGCCCAGAGAGCTCTTCCCTAAAGCCTTTGTTTTGCAGGCTCCTTCTCATCCCTTAGGACTGAGGTTAAATTCCCATCTCCCTCAGGACACTCCCTAAAATATTTGTTCTCCTATAACTGCATCTTCATATTCTGTCTTTTCATAGCATTGGTCCTGAAATGCAAATATTCTATTTGTTTACTTGTTTTCTGTCTACATCTCACACCAGAATATAAGGTCTCTCATGGTGGTTTATCTCTTCCCCTGGAACCTAGCATAGTGCCTGCTCAGAGGAGGCACGGAACAAACTTTGGTCGAATGAATGAATAGATGAATGAATGAAAAATACTAACAAAACTGTCTCTTTACTACATATGTACTTAAAATAGCAAAGCCAATAAAAACATGTAAACTTACTTGGCTTATGTATGGTCCTGGTTTCAGCTTCTAGCACAGAAGATGGTACGTAGTCGACATTGGTTTATATTAGGGAGGGATGATGGCGATGATGATGATGATGAGTCAACAACCCATAGTTAGCTCAGTGCTGCCTGAGAACTAAACCCATTACCAGCTATAAAGAGCAAGGGCCACTAGACACTAGAGCATCAAGGCTTCTGAGCAATGGTTCTACCCCACTCACTGATTCAGGCACATTACACCAAATGAGCAAAAAGTACTCGAATGGGCAATACAGATGTGACAGATGTTGACTTCAAAGATCTGAAAGTCCAAAAATGGAGGGTAATACATGAATTGGGGGGGGGGGGGGGAGAGACACGGTACTAGAATACCCTAAATGCCAGAGGCAAGAAGAGACTGTCCAGCTCTGGGGAGATGACAGAAGGCTTCCTGGGGAAGGTAGCACTGGAGCCGAGCCTAAGCGATGGGTGGGACTGGTGCACGTGGCAAAGGAAGAAAGGCCCAGCGGATGAAGGACACAGCATGACCACAGCACAGAGGGAAGAAGGCTGAGGAACAGAGCGGGGGAAAGGAGTAGTGGGAAATAAGCCTGAAATCCAGGCTGGGAGCAGAGAGAAGAGGCCCCGGAAGGACACACTCATCATTCTGGATTTATTTAGTAGGAAACAAAAGTGTTTTCACTGTTCTTCAGCAACGGGGTGGCACAAGGGGGACTGCTTGGGGATGAAAGATCGGCTCAGAAAGCAGGCCGTGCTGGAAAAGGAAAGGACTGGGGGGTGGGACTTGGGGGAATCTGCCCACTCAGGCACCGCTCATTAAATATTTTTAGTGTGTGCCCGGCACTGTCTGGGTGCTTGAGATATATTATGAGCAAGACAGACAAAGACTCCTGCTCTTGAGGAGTTGACAATCTTTTGGAGGAAAACAGAAAAGTACTAGACAGTGGCAAGAGCTGTGGAGGGAAGGAAAAGAAAAGCAGAACAGAACATGGGGAGTGCTGGGGAGGAGAGCAGGCACAGAACATTATATTCCATACTGGGACCGGTGGTCAGAATACATGCACTTCGGAGAAAAGAGGAGAGGCGGTGGAAGCAAACACTTGAGGAAGGTGAGGGAGAGAGACAACAGCTGCCAGCAGAGGAAACACCAGCGCGAAGCCAGAGGCGGGGTGTTCCCAGTGTGCTCCTTAGCAGCACAAAGAGGCGGTGCCTGGAGCAGAGTGAGAAAGGGAAGGGGAAGCACCAGTCAGAGAGAGGTAGAGGGCCTTGACTTGCCTGAGAGAACAGGAGCCCTTGAAGGGCCTTGAGCACAGGACTGACAGGATCGGACTTAAATGTTAAAATTAGCGGGGGACCATTTAGAAAGCAGTCACAGCGGGTCAGACAGGAGACGGGAGCGGCTTGGCCAGGAGAGTAGCAGTGGGCGTGGGGGAAGGGGCTTTGCCCTGGGTGTATGTGGCCAGCACAGTGGGCGGGTTCCTGATGAATTGGAGGTTGGGTGGGAGAGGAAGACAGGCATGGAAGATCCTTACACGGTGTGTCAGACAAATAAAAGTGACGGTTAGTAAGGATCTGTATGAGGCTGGGCTCTGTGAGGTTGAGGAAGGAACAACCATAAGCCATGTTGTGACAACTAAATGGAAAAGACTGGGCCACTCATCTGAACACAGGGATGGTAGAAGTGACTAGACTCAACATTTTTTTAAATATACTTTATTGATTTTTTATAGAGAGTAAGGAAGAGAGATAGAGAGCTAGAAACATCAATGAAAGAAACATCAATCAATCAGCTGCCTCCTGCACACCCCCAACTGGGGATGTGCCCGAAACCAAAGTACATGCCCTTGACCGGACCCGAACCTGGGACCCATCAGTCCAGACACTCTATCCACTGAGCCAAACCAGTTTCGGCTCAACATTTTCTGAGACCTCACTCTGCTAGGCACATGCCAGGCCCAAGGGTGAGTGGTGAGCACAGGCACATATTCCCTGACTCGATGGAACTCAGACCGGAAGTCCCATGGAGCACCCAAAACATGCAGCTGTCGCTGAATTAATTATAGTGTTGATAAATTAAATTTGTAAATATTAAATTGGATGTGAAATTAATAAATATATAAAATATCATCACATAAAACATTAAACTATAAATTTAATAGAAATGTGACTTTAATTGTATTTCATTCTTCACCTTATTGTTTCATATCTGTATTACTTAACATTATTACAACACTGTGCCAATCATTATATTCAACAATGGATTCAAGACAAATCGTTAAGGAATGGTCAGAGCACACCATTATACTAGCAATCTGGCTGGATGAGAGCCTTCCTAGTGTGAACACATGGGGACACCCACCCTGGCCGGAGGGTGACTCCTACCCTGGCGTTGAGAGGGAATGGGAGGTGCTGAGGGGAGAGCTGAGGGGACTACAGCCCCAGAAGGAGTGTGAGGCGGGGCCGGGGAGGCAGGGACTCACGTGGCACCAGCCAAAGCAGACAACACTGAGGTTCTGAGTCTAGACTATGAACTGCTGGCTCCACGGGGGGAAGGGGGAGAACTCCATCTGTTTTGCTCACCACAGAGCCCCCAGGACGTGGCACCATGCCTGGCACACAATAGGCCCCCAAGTTATATTTTGAGGACATAAACAAGTAGATCAAGGAAGAGGAACGGATCTGAGAGGAACAATGACTTCTGTTAAATCAGAAAAGAATGTGCAAGTTTCCCCGAAATGGTGCCACAAGGCAACGTGAGATGCAGCCCTGGCCCTGGAGAGGAGGACCCAAGCCGGTACTGGAGTCTCCAGCGATGCTCTGAGCGCCAATCCTCCCCCCGAGGGCGCAGAAATACCTGTATTTCCTGGATGCTCTCCTCCTCTCTGGTGTCCACCTTCTTCTCAACCCCCTCGCCCCTGAGCAAGGCTTCCAGCGTGGTGCTCTCTGAGGTGAAGCCATCCTTCTTCAGGGGCAGCTCTACTTCTGGAAAACAAGACCAGAAAAGCAGGGTCAGGCCGTTAGAAGCAGGAGGGACAGGAGGGGCAGGAGACGGCCCTTGAGGGCACACAGGAACCAGAGCTCCCAGAACTCCTGGGTAAGGTTCAAGGCCACCTGTATTCTCTCCTCCAAATGGAGCGGGACAATGCAGTGAGGTCCAGCTTTTCTTTTTTCCCTCTTTTTTTAAAAAATATATTTTATTGACTTTTTACAGAGAGGAAGAGAGAGGGATAGAGAGTTAGAAACATCAATGAGAGAGAATCATCAATCAGCTGCCTCTTGCACACCCCCTACTGGGAATGTGCCGGCAACCAAGGTACATGCCCTTGACGGGAATCGAACCTGGGACCTTTCAGTCCTCAGGCCAACGCTCTATCCACTGAGCAAACCGGTTTGGGTAGATCCAGCCCACAATCCCTGGGGGGTCCAGGTCGATTCCAGCCCTGCCTGCACCCTCAGAGACAGCAGAGGTAGAGCAGAAAGGGCGCCAGATGGATATGGGATCAGACAGCCTGGGTCTCAGTCCAGCTTCTGCCACTCCCCAGCCCTGGGACTTCAGGCAAAGCACTCAAGGACCCCACAGACCTTTTCTGCATCTACAGAGTGAGGAGAACAGTGCCAAGCACCCCACATGGCCATTCTGTAGGGCGAAAACGTGCTCCTTTACATTTAAGTTCTTTGAAAACTCGAACGCGGTGCATCAATGCCAGCCTCGGGTCTTATTATTCTCTCCCTCCCGCCCACCTCTCGTTCGGCAGCGCGGTGACCTCGCCTCAGCCATGCTGGCTGCCAGCTCAGGTCTGCTCCGTGAAAAGCTATTTCAACCTCAGAGGCTGTGCTTCAGAACTCACCAGGGAAGCGAAGGCCTGCAAAGCCAAGGGAAGAGAAAGAGCGAGGCCCGGGTCCGCAGCTGGGAGCTGCAGCGGCCGCACGCCGGGGCGTTTTTGCTGAAGGCATCGGGAGTTTGACCGGCTACCTGGGGCTTGAGGTGGTGGGGCCAGCTGAGCAGTGGCAGCCAGACCTGGCTCTGCCCAGGCGAGAGACCAAACAGAAGCTGAATCCTTTTCTCAGTATGTCTCCTAACCTGCTCTCAAAGAAAGGTTTGCTTTTTCTGTTGCTGTTGTTTCATTAAAAACAGAAACCTCAGGTACAGGTGATCCTATTTGGACTTACTATAAAATACTCCTCAAACCTCTCCTCAGATCCAGTATACCTCATGCCCCATCCCTGACAATGAGATAGGAGGCCCCTACTCTGTATCAGATAAAATGAGTGTAAGAATATGAGAGGCCAAAACAGGTTTGGCTCAGTGGTAGAGCGTCGGTCTGCGGACTGGAGGGTCCCAGGTTCGATTCCGGTCAGGAGCATGTACATTGGTTGCGGGCACATTCCCGGTAGGGGGTGTGCAGGAGGCAATTGGTCGATGTTTCTCTCTCATCAACGTTTCTAGCTCTCTCCCTTCCTCTCTGTAAAAATCAATAAAATATATTTAAAAGAAAAAAAAAAAAAAAGAACATGAGGGAATGGTGCCCTACAAAACTGTCAGAGGAAATGAATGGCCCGGTTGTATGCGGAATTGAGAGATTAGTGTAGGGACTCTTCACAGAGGTGTGGGCAAATGAAGGGAACAAAAGGGAATGGTGAAACAACAGCCCAGGAGAGTTAACAGTGGGGAGTCATTATCACTGCTATTCCTGGAGGGACAGAGGGGAGTGTTTGCAAGAACCTGGAGGGGGCGCCACAGCAGAGCTCCCAGGCAGGGGTTGTGTTTGCAACAGAGGAGTCTCCCTCCCACTCTGCTGAGCTCTGGGGTCAGAGAGGTTCCCAGCACGGAGGCACAGGGACACATAGCTCAGCCTGACCTTCCATCCTCATCTAACTGCCCTGCCCTCCCACTGGCCAGCCTCAACCAGAAGCCAGACAGCAAGGGATTCATGTTGATGTGGCCCATGGAGATCAACTTCCTAGAGCACAGGATGGTGTACAAAGGGACAGACAGTGGATCTGGGGGGTAAAATGGAAATAACAAGCAAGTCCAAGCCCTGCTTCCCTGGGCTCTGTTCTGACGCAAATGGAACTCTACCTACCCTTCCACCCCTCCACCAAAACCAGCTGCAGGCTGACCAGTCCACAGGGAAGAGACACTAAGCAAACCATTAAAATGGAATAGCTACCCATGGTGTCCAGCCCCAGAAGAAAGTGGGAAGAAGGAATGGTATGTAACGTCCCTATCAGACAAGGTCTCTGGGGCTTCTCTCACCAATAAAGGCAAGCAGAGGACCCGACTCCATCAAGAAGCGATGTCACCAAATCAACCACCTCTGACACTCATCCATCCACCTAGTCATGCAACAGTTATTTACCAGGCACTGCCATGTGACAACTAGGTACACAGGAGGGGAGCCAAGCAAAGACAGTCCTGGCCTTCAGGTAGTTTACACTCTAAAGGGGTAGACACTAAACACTAAACCCAAAATAAGCATGCAATTACAAACTGTAGTAAGAGCTTTGGAGGAAGCCAACAGAGTGAGATGAGAAGGAAGAATAGGTGGGGGTCTGTTTAGATCACAGGATCAGGGAAGGCCTGTGTGAAGTTACATTGAAGTTGAGTGTCAGGAAAAGTCAACTGTCTGCTTTAATGAGTTCAGGGACCACAACTTCAGAGCCTGCTCCGATAACATATTATTCTTCCTCCCAAGTCAGAGAAGGCATCCAAATGCCAGGTCTAAAACAATTAAAGTGTGCCGGCTCATGTCCTATCATGAGAACAGCTGCTCACCATCCCTCAAACATACAGTAATCATTCATATCTACCTATTTGAAGTTCATGTTTTAGTAACCCCTTAGTCTTCTCAACACTAAATAAACCCTACTTTCAGAATTGTACATTTTGAGCTGGAAAAAACCCTCACAGATCATCTGTTTTAATCATCTCATTTCATAAATGAGTCACTTGAGAGGCTCAGAGAAGTAAATTCATCTAAAGCACATGTGTCAAACACAAGGCCCGCGGGCCAAATCCGTCCCGCCAGGCCTTGCAATGTGGCCCACACCGTGCTGTCATCACTGCACTCTGCTGCGTTTCCATCACAATGACAGTTTATGACTGTTCAGTAAACCATTCGGCCCGCGATTTAGGCTGGATTTTAGATTTTGGCCCCTTCTCTGATTGAGTTCGACACCCCTAATAAAGTAACAGAGTAGGCCCAACTGGCATGGCTCAGTGGTTGAGTGTCACCTATGAACCAGAAAGTCACAGTTTGATTCCCGGTGAGGGCATATGCCCCAGGTTGCAGGTTCGATCCCCAGTGGGGGTTGTGCAGGAGGCAGTCAATCAATGATTCTCATCATTAATGTTTCTGTCTCTCTCCCTCTCCCTTCCTGTCTGAAATCAATAAAAATATATATTTTTAAATAATAAAATAAGCCGAAACCAGTTTGGCTCAGTGGATAGAGCTTCGGTCTGTGAACTGAAGGGTCCCAGGTTCGATTCCGGTCAAGGGCATGTACATTGGTTGTGGGCACATCCCGGTAGGGGGTGTGCAGGAGGCAGCTGGTCGATGGTTCTCTTTCATCAATGTTTCCAGCTCTCTATCCCTCTCGCTATCTGTAAAAAAAAAAAAATCAATAAAAATATATTAAAAGAACGGAAAAGTTCCACACACAAAACTAGCGTGAGAAACAGAGTGGAAACTGAGACGTATCAATTCTTGTGCTGGTCTTTCTATTCAAAATTTAAGATTTAAAATTAAATCATATATGTAAAGAGCCTGGAATGTTCTAAGTGCCCTCTAACTGCAATGTATTATTATAAAAGTTCGAATAACAGTGATTTTAATGGTACAACAGCACTGTCCAACAGAAATATAATGCAAGCCACTTATATCATTTAAACTTTCTAGTAGTCACAATTATTAAGTAAAGAGTGGAGATTTGAAGATGGCAGCATAGGTAAAACATCTGTGCTGGCCACCTCCCACAACCATATCAAAATTACAACTAAAATACAGAACAACCATTATCCAGAACCGCTGGAAAGCTGGCTGAATGGAAGTCCTACAACTAAAGTAAAGAAAGCATACTGCCAAAACAGGTTTGGCTCAGTGGATAGAGCATCAGCTTGCGGACTGAAAGGTCCCGGGTTCGATTCCAGTCAAGGGCATGTACCTTGGTTGCAGGCACATCCCCAGTAGGGGGTGTGCAAGAGGCAGCTGATCGATGATTCTCATTGATGTTTCTAACTCTCTATTACCTTCCTTTCCTCTCTGTAAAAAATCAATAATATATATATATATATACACATATATATATGTGTATATATATATATATATATATATTTTTTTTTTTTATTTTTTTTTTTTTTTTAAGAAAGCATACTGACACTGGTAGGAGGTGCGGAGACACAGAATGGGCTGGTGGGCTATTACGGCCCCCACATGTGCCCCTTTTTTAATCAGAAGGGAGGTTGTCTCTGTGGAGGCAGCCTGGAGAACTAAGGCAACCCAGCCCCACACCAGACCCGCAGCCTAGGGTCCCAGAGCTGGGAAAAGACTGTTGATTTAGGTCCAATCCTGCAGGAATCCCTGCAAGATTGGGCCTAAACTGGCAGTCATACATCCCTCTTGCAATCTGGGACCACTGGCTCCTAACCTCTCACCTTCCTGCCTCATCACCCCTAACCACTCGCCTGCCTGCCTCATTGCCCCTAACTGCCTCTGCCTCAGCCCCCGCCACCTCGGCTTCATCTAGAAGGACATCCAGAAGTTCATTCGGCTGTTTGGTCTAATTAGTATATTATGCTTTTATTATTATAGATAGATATGCATTACCTATGGATACAGACGATAGGGTGTGAAGGCCTGGGATGTGGTGGAGAGGGGCAATGGGGGGGGGGGTCACAGTTTAATTCCCAGTGGGAGGGAAGGTGGTACATTATGCAGGAAGCAACTGATCAATGAGTTTTTTCTCATCATTGATGTTTCTCT